CCCACCTTTAGCCTGTTGGCTCTGCTTCTTTAGGAAGGAGACACCCCGCTGCACGACGCTGTGAGACTGAATCGTTACAAGATGATCAGACTGCTGATTACATACGGCGCCGATCTCAATGTCAAGAACTGTGTAAGTGCTCCAAACAAGGGACCCTGCTTGCAAGATTTTTTAATTTACAAAAGCATATCTCACAACCTTGAAAACAGTCCCTCGATGGCACTATTTCAGGGGTCTTGTCTAACGGTTTAAGTGCCCCTGTCCATTCCATTCCTGCTAACCTTGGCAAGGACTCCAGTCACTCACTGGTCAGAGATGGGGGAAGCTACAGTGACTAATATGACTTCACTGACAAATACAGTGTCTAGTAATTCTCTTAAAATGTGGTCTTGAAAGTAAAAGATGGTCAAACTGCTCACCTTCACAGACACAAAGGCAGTTTGCCTTGGCCTCCTGGCAGAGCAAGGCCTGGGGTGGGCAGGTCACCCACCGCTCCTGCAGCGGTCTACAATCCCACAGTGGCCAGTGCAGCCAAGGGCCACTGAGCTCAAGTGATCAGCATCTCCGTGCAGTCATTCTGGACAGCCCTCCCCGCACACAGCAGCAGGACCAGCCGCCACTTTCTTCCAGTGGCAGCTGTACTTGTGCCTACATTTCTAATTTCCATCTTTTCTCCACTTTGGTTTATCTGCACATCCCTCAGAATAATTTCCTATATTTAGGCCCTGAAAATGCTTGTATAAGTCCCTTCTGCAACTATGTATTAATTTAGCTTCATCTGTAAGCAGGGAACGTAACCAACTTCGCATAGTCCCAATTCCCAGACAAACATCATCGAATATAAGCTTTAAAAATATCACCTAGAGGAATGGATATAAATTACTGAAAAAATAACTTGAAAGCTTTTGGAGAATCACTTTAAAAAAAAAGAAAAAAAAAAGAAAATCCCAGGGATCATATAAATGTGAATAATTTCTTTTCCTTATTGTGTTACTATGAGACTGAGAGGGATATTTTATCATTAAAAAAACCTAGCTCGGTGACAGGAACAAAGAATAAATGCATGAACTAGAGCCTGCTGCTTGGGGTGGAAGTGTGTTAGCATCCCTGATATTGGGACTGGTCTTATCTAATAATTTAAATAAAGTATCAGAGAAAGAATAGATTCAATAAAACCTCAAAAGCTGCAGAAAATAAGACTTTTTTTCCAGGCAGTGAGACACTACAAGCAGAGATAAATGGCATACAGATTTGGGGAGACTGTGTAAGTAGGCAGAAAGTCAGGAGACAGATTTCAGTAGGGAGGCATGCAAGGAACTTGTGGAATAGCCAAAAATATACACGTAGGGCTCAAAGTTCTGTATATCAGTTAGACCCAGGCCTAAGGGTTCTGAAAATATTAATGTCATTGACCCAATGGATCTATGTTCCCCAAAGAGCCCAAAAAGCTATTGGACACCCTCTGGAAAGGGATCAGGAACAACACACAAGGTCATTGTATTGTTATCCAAAACTCTGTGTCGACTGATGAGTGTTTCTCAAGAAAGATGCTGTAGAGGTGAGAAGTCCCAAAGTGAAGGTCACGGGACCACTAAGGAAGGTGAAGGGGGCCAGGCAGGTCATCTAAACAACCCGTGTGGGTGGCTGCGGGAATCTGTGCACGGGACTTGAAAAGGTGGAGGCTCGTCTGCACCCAGCCCTCTGTGCTGCCACCCACCCACTTGCTTTTCAGAAACCACAAATTCAGTTGGGAAATCGCTTACTTTCCAACCGTTGACAATTAATTCCAACTTAAACAAACAAACAAACAACAATGCCCTGAGCACTGCTTGGGCCCAAACAAGGCAGGTTTCTAGCCTGATCTGCATCTCCAAACTGCCTGTGTGCCATCTCTGGGTGAAAGAGAGACTTCTGAATGGATAGAGATGGAAAAGATGGAGAGCTACTCATATTTAAAGACAAAAATTGAGGGGTGACATGGTTTTCATTTCTGTAAATATCTTGAGACATATTCAAAAGGGAAAAAAAGTTGGAGTAAAAAATTACTTACTCACACATCCCTGACATCACCTCTGAGAAATAAATTTCCCAGGAGAAAGCTCAGGGTGACCCGGCGTGAAAACTGTATCCGCTAGTGCGCTCCTAGTCCTGAGCAGCACCTGAGTGTGTAAGTCAGGGCGTTGGAGCAGGTCAGTTGCCACCGGTTTTATCAGTCAGGGAATCATTTTCCAAATGGACAGGAACTGGTTTTTCACTAAAAGGGCATCAGGACTACGATACTGTGCCCACACTGCAGAATAATGGAGACGCGTGGGGGCGTTTTTTAAAATCTGAAGGTCACTCGTCGTAGTCTTGCCATTTAGTGTCTTGGTACTGGGGATGTTTAGTAATGCCTGAAATAGTCCCAGAGTTGCCACAGGTCGGTGGGGAGGTGGGGGGACACTGCTAATCTAAAATGCCAAACGCATGCCCGTGAGAAACACTGAGGGACCGCTTCGAATGTACGCTGCGAATTACTCATAAAGGAAAGCGTAAGACGCTTCAACAACATACACGCATCCATTACCACATCAAACTCCCACACAGAGGATGTGAATTTACAGATGCCTCCCACCTGGAAGTCAAATTTCCCCATCTGTTTTGATTAGGCTGGGAAGACCCCGATGGAGCTGGTGTTACACTGGCAGAATGGAACCAAAGCCATATTTGACAGCCTCAAAGAGAACGCCTACAAAAGCTCTCGCATCGCTGCGTTCTAGAGAAACGACGACGGGCTCTCATCAGCCGCTTTTCACCTGCGTTTGGAAGGCACCGACCCAACAAAGAGCAACTAGTTATAAAACGCAGCTTCCTCTTATCGACCTGGGGTCAAACTGCACCTTGGAAAGGTTTGAGAAAGCACAGGGGATATAGGCATTGACATTTCCCTTAGTGAAACTCACTCTATTTATTTGCACGTATCCCCGTTTATTTATTTACTTATTTATTTTTAAAGGCACTTCACCCCCACTGGTGCTCGGATCCTCTCTGGTCGTTTGTTTGGTGAGCAAAGTGGAATTAATATGCGACACTCCAGGGCCTTCCCGTAGATAGTTCTTAGACCGTGTTAATGAGCAGTGCTCTCAGTGACTACTGATGTGTCACCTCCCCCAGGTAGGACGTTTCAAGGTGTTTTAAAAGACAAAGGTGATGAATGCCACCCTCTTTCCTCCTGAATTGTTATTCCTGACGTCTGAGGCAATGGAAGGCACGGAGTGAGGGAAGCAGTGGAATGAAGGAGACTGTGAGAAGGACAGGAAAGCCAGCCGTTGTAGAGCTGGGCCTGGCATTTCTTAGCGAGCCCCGCAGGTACCGAGGTGAAGGTTGCGAATGTCGCCAGTGTGAGCGGAGGCAGTGGGCAGCTGGGCCCTGTAGAGCAGGAGCTGCTCAGACAGGATGAAAGCGACGGTGAATTGTAAATGTGTAAATGTGTATTATGTCGTACGTATATTTTATATTCATAATAAAAGCAAAGAAATGCTAACCCTCTTTCTAAGTACTTTTGTTGGTGGAAAAGGCCATTGAGAGGGGGTTGCTTTAGTCCTGCAGGTTTTTCAGACGAGGAATGTCCTGTAGAACAGCACTTCTCGGTATTTAACGTGTACAGTATACAGATCACCTGAGACCCTGTCAGAATGCAGACTCTGATTCTGCGAGTCGCAGGAGAGACCTGAGATTCTCCAATTCTGACGGGCTCCCAGGACGCAGGGGTGGAGGTGGCCACAACCACACCGTGAGCAGCAAGGCTGTGAAAATACAAAGGACCTGAACTTCTTTTGGTCCCAATGATGGGGGCAAGAGACCCCTAGTGGGCAGAATGTTTACTGCAGGTTCAACAGTGCTGCTTACGAAGTTCCGTCGGGGATTGCTAATTGAGGTGGAACAATTACTGTGGATGCTGTGGGCAGTCAGAGGCCTCCCATGAGAAAACACACCAGGTGGATGACTTCTGATCCGCAAGGGTGTGGAAGCCAGGTGCTAAGACCCGTGATGAGAAAACCAGATTGTCCCTTCCCTGTCTTCCTGGAATGCATAAATGCTAAAGAAATAATCACAGAAATAAATATCAATATCTGCAGTAAGTACAAATGAAAAGTACAGAGTGCTGTGAGTCAAAGATGTGCAGCCACATCATTTGATGGGGTGAGAGGATTTTTACAAAGATCGATTTGAGGTGGTAGCTTTCAGGGGAGTCTGAAGAGCAACCTGGAGTCATTCAAGCACAGAACATTCCAGGCACCAGAGAGAACACAGGGCAGGGCAAGGTCTGGCACTTTAGTGAATGTGTGAGGCCAACGTGAAACACCAGGACTGGTACCCCTTCCAAAAAACTCACTCCAGGTAGGATCGTGCACACAACGTCTTGGCTATGCCTCTAACACTTTGAGAGGACACACACACACACACACAGTCCATAACCGGGTCTGCCAGAGAGCCGGTCATGGACACATACGGAGTTCTGTGGATGGTCTGAAATATTTCTGAATCTTTTCTATCTAGTCTTCTAACAATCCAGTGTCTACCTCCCCCGGCCACCGGGAGCTTCCTTCTCTCTCCTTTCCTCCCTCCCAATCCCCTTGACCACCCTCTGCCTTCTCTCTAGGGTCTTGGCTCTAACCCCTCAGATCCTTAAAGCTCAGGGACCTTCCATTGCTTCCAAGTAAAGCACCTACAACACAAGCGACGTTTCTCTCGCTGATACCGATGTCTCCCACAGCAGAACTTGGGTGCATTATCGTGTGACGAGAGTTCTCTCTTTACGATGTCTTCGAGTCTCCTTCCCCACAGGAGGGTGGCAGGTAAAGAGGAGAAGACAACAAAAGGTGTTGGCACATATAAAGATCTGCACCAGTACAGAGGAGGGGACATGGAATATGTCCCACAGGACAAACAACTCAGGTCTGACAAAGATAAAGAGTTCAGGCAAAAATGTCAAGTTTCTGGAAGTCAAGCACAGGAAGTCAACTTTAAAAAAAGATTTTATTTATTTATTTTTAGAGAGAGGGGAAGGGAGGGAAAGGAACATCAATGTGTGGTTGCTTTTCTTGTGCCCCCACACTGGGGACCTGACTTACATCCCAGGCATGTTCCCTGACTGGGAATAGAACCAGGACCCCCCTGGTTCACAGGCTGGCACTCAGTCCACTGAGCCACAACAGCTGGGGCAGGAAGTCAACTTTTCTAAGCGCCTTCCTTGTCTTCCCACCTGAGCCAACTCTTTGTCCACAGTCTGTCTGTTGGCTTGTTTCCTCAGTGAAGGGAACATCCCTGTGGCCAAGAGACTCCTGAAAGTTCTCAACATTCTTGTCCTCTCCCCCCTCCCCCCTTTCAGCCCCACAAAATCTCACCAAGCACACTGCTCTGTAATCCGTCCACTGCCTCTCATCCCAGGGGCCGCTCCCTCAGTTCAGATTGCCACAGGTTACCCCCTGGATAACTCAAATGGTCCTTGCTGGGGGCCCCCACCCCCTGGTTTACTTCCCTCCAGTCTGTTCTTCAAGCTGCAGCCAGAGGGATTTTTCTAAAATGCAATTCTGGTCAAGTTCTCTTTTTCAAAATTCTTCAATGGGTTCCCAGTTCTGAACGTTTTCTAAAATCCTAAAAACCTGGCAGCTGTTAACTCTATCCTTATCTATTTCTCATTACTTTCCTAGCTAAACTCTAAATTTCAACTCTACTTGGATTTTCAGTTACTTAAAAAACCCCACAAACCAGCACTTGTTTTTCTGTTTTACATGCTGCACCAGGTCCCTAGCAGGGCCTCCCTCACACCCCGCTTCACCCGTGGCATGTTCTCCTCATCCCTCTTTCGGGTGAGCTGCATTTTACCCAGGAAGCTGCCCTGACCCTTCCTTAGACTTCGTTACTCCTCCTGACGGTGCTCTTACGGTCCTTTTCCTCTAGGCCACAACACCCATCATACTGCCTTCAGCACCCAAGGGAAAAAATTTCCTCTCCCCCTTTGAACGTGTAATACATACCCATTAAGTATTAAGCCAGTTACAGAAATGGATAATGAAAAAGGCAAACCACACCACTAATTCCAATTTCAAGGCACTCTCTGATTTCTCTGTGCACATTACGCATGGGCACTGTGCATTTAGTTTTATAACTGTTTTCAATTAAACAACTTATTCTGCACATCTTTATAAATGGTATTCTTATGGTTCAATATACAATGGGTCATTTAACTAATCCTATTATTATTGAGCATTTAGGTTGTTCCCTTTTCCCACTATTTTAGACATTGTTGTAATGACTACCCTTTTCCATGCACCCTTTATACATAACCAGTTACTGCTGAAAAGACACACAAAAGTATCTGTAAGATTGGTATCAAATTATACCTTCCATATTATTGCCTTTCCAATCATGAAAAAACTTATCTGTTCAATCTGATTAGCAAAACATTCATACAATGTATCTATTTATCTATATCTATATATCTATAAATTTGACAACTTTTGCCTGATTACTGTAAAGTTCAGCATCTTCATGTTTACTGAGCATTTTTCTGGGTCACCCTTCTTTGTCCAATCTTCTATTGTCACGTTCCCTGGAAGCAGCCCTGGAAATGAGGGCTCTTGTGGTTGAGAATAAACAAGTGTAACAGGATGAGGCGGAGGAGAAAAGAGGCAAAAATGTGGCCTCAAAGGAAGTCTCTCCTCAGCCCAGTCCCAGGGAGCTCTGGAGCGTGAACTGCACAGCACAGGCCAGAAGGCTGGGCTGTAATGCCCTGCATCAGGCGTTGTCTGCGGTCCAACCCCAAGGGGTGGAAAGGAAACTTCCCAGGCATCCCTGGGTAGGGTGATACCCATCGTCCGGGACAATCCTCCAGAGGAGGCTGGACATAGACCATTAGTTCCCACCACCTAGAGCAGCTGAGGGCTGGGTACACCAGCCTGGTGAGAGGGGTCTGGGCGGACACAGACAGCATTTGGCATGTTGGGTGATTTTTAAAGTTTCTCAAAAGATAGGGATGCTAAACCTCTCTGGAGCATGCATCATAAATGACTTTCCTAGCTGTGCTTTTTTAACAGACATTTTTATAAGGTTCAATCAATGAAGCTTTCTGTTTTCTGGCTTTAGTGACCACTTTGTCTTTTCCAATCCAAATGGTTTCTTTTCTTTAAATTTACCTATTTCTTTAGTTTTTTTACAAGTTAAAAAATTGTATCTTTCACTCACCTGTATTTACTTTGGGTGTGTGTACTCGGAATGAGATAGGAATTGGATTTTCCCCTGTAAATGATGGAATGATAGCTGACAGCAGTTACATTGTCCATGACTGATCTTGTTCTGAGCCTTCTACAGATATTAACCTACCTAACCCTTGCAATGCCACAGGGAGAATAGATGAAGCGAGGCCAGAGTGGTTATGTAATTTTTCCAAGGTCACGGGTGGTAAGTCTTAGCAGGCTGGGGTTTGAGCGCAGGCAGTCTCTTCTGGCTTTGCACTTGACTGGTACGCGGCCCCGGCCCCGCAAACCAACCCCTTCTTCCAGCACCACCTACAGATGAACCCGTCGCTTCCTCCCCAACTGCGGTGCTTCTGGACTCCCAACTTTCTCATTAACCTAAAACAACTTCTGTACCAACTACACAGTTTTTGTTTTCTTTTTAATATACACAGTTTTAATCAACTAGTGTTCTGCTGTGCTCTGAATAACTGTCCAGTATAGGTCTGTCCTATTATTCTTCTACAAAATTTCCTATTCTTACATTTATTCTTTCAAAGTACCAAGTCTACAAACTAAGCATATACACAAACAAAAATATAAACACTTTGTATGGATTTTGTTAAATTCATTATTTAGGGGAGAATTTGATGTATAATATCTCCTCATCCAAGAAAATAGAATGTCTCCATGTATTCCAGTCTTCTTTAATTCCTCTTATGATTTTAATTTGTTTTCTGGAAATAAAGAACAAACTGACATGGACCAGAAGGGAGGGGGACCATGGAGGAAATGAGAGGGTCGAGCCAAGGAACATGTATAAAGGACCCATGCACAAGGACAACTGGGCAGGGGGGAGGATTGAATGTGGGGGTGGGGGTGGGGGGGCAGGTCAGGGGAGAGCAATGGGGGAAAAATGGGGACAACTGTTAACTGAATAAAAAAATTTCCAGTTTTCTTCATAAAGGTCCTATACATTTCTTAGTAATTTATGTCTTTACAAATAGGATCTTTTCAAATGATATTTTATAAAATATTAAAACTATTCGCTTTCATGTACTTTATCACTGTTTTGCAGAACTTACTTTTTATCTTAATTTTTTCAGAGAGAAAAAGGGAGGCAGAAAGAGGAAAGAAACACAGACGTGTGAGGGTGAGATCAGCTGGCTGCCTCCTGCACACCCGCAACACGGGGCCTGGCCCGCAACCCAGGCATGTACCCTGACCTGGAATCAAACCAGGAACCTTTCGGTTTGCAGGCCAGCACTGGTTCCACTGAGCTACACCAGCCAGGGCATGTTTTGCTGAAATTTTATTATAGGTATGGTACTGGCTCACATTCTAACCAGACAGAAGCACACATACAGGGGTGTCCAACTTCTGGTGTCTCTGCACGACACTGGAAGAGTTGTCTTGGGCCGCCCATTAAATACACTGTGACACAAAACCGTGAAAAAATGTCATGTTCTAAGTAAATTTACAATTTTGTGCGGGGCCACATTCACAGCCATCCTGGGCTGCACAGGGCCCGTGGGCCACAGGCTGGACCCCCTGCACAATTAGAAAGACACCCACTGACTGCCAGTCACTGGTGACGAGGCATCAGGCCCTAGTGCCCGAACGAGATAAGCACACATTCAAAAACAGAAAGCAGGCCTAACTGCAATGTGGAACATGTCTGCAAACTAAAAAGCACCTGCATGTCTAATGTTTTCCCAGCTACTTCTCTTCTTTTTCAAGAAGATAGTCATACCTGCAATAACTTTACCTCATTTCTAATACAACATTAAAGTCCTCAATATTATCTGGTGCGGTTGGGGTACATTAACACACACACACACAACAGCCAAGTTGGCTAAAAAGTAGATTAAGGTGTGGCATCAAAAAGAGTTAAGCCCTGGCTGGTGTGGCTCAGTGGATTAAGCAGCAGCTTGTGAACCACAAGGTTTGCCAGTTCGATTCCCAGCCAGACGCCGAGCCTGGGTTGCAGGCCAGGCCCCCAGGAGGGAGCGTGCGGGAGGCTACCAATTGCACATGGATGTTTCCTTCTCTCCCCCTTTCGCTGTCTAAAATAAGTAGGTAAAATCTTAAACACGATAGTTAAAACATACACCTACTTAAACATCTTATTTCAGTCTAAATTACACGCATACAAACGTATTCATGGACCAGTCTTTAAAGAAAGGTCAAGGCCTGTTCCTGGGTGTATGGAAGCACCGGTGGGAGATCCAATTATCTTTCTTCAGTTCCAGTCTCTTTAAAGAAAGAACTAATGACTCTTGTGAAGGAATCCAAGCGCAGAATTTCACTGCATCTCCCCCAAATCTTAGTTATCCTGCTCACACTTTTTTTTAACAGTTTTTTTTTAGTAACTACTCTTTTTCGCAAAACTTTCAAAAGCATCAAATCTAGTTTTCCTGGGATTTCTTTTTTTACTTTTCATAGTTCATCAGTGCTCATAATTTTTAACTAACTTATTCAACTTTACAATGCTAAATACCATGACACAAAGACTTGTGCATAAACACACACCTAACTTTTGGTGAATCCAAGTGGGGCACAGGCAGACGCAGGCCGCCACCCACGTGGTGAACTGCCGGTGTGTGGGCTCAGCAGCGGTGGCCACCAGCATCATGGGGCAGGCTCATCCATCAAGTCACGCAAGTCAGTCGAAAATGCTTTACTTTTAGAACCGTCATGGTTAATATATACAATATATAAATATATATGGAACATGTGTGTGAGAGTCTTCTACTTGTGTTTTGCCAAAGGTTTTCACTGTTGCTTAATTTTTAAATCTGGAGTAGATTTAAAATTTTATCAAATGTCTTGTTAGCATCTACTAAGGTGATTCTGATTTTTCTCACTTGACCTATTAATATTATAAAGTACAAAACATTAAAGGGAACCGAAATATTCTTAGATTACTAGAATAAATCTTACCTTGTCATGGTATATAGTTTTAATGGTTTCCCTTTACCAATATTTTATTTAAACATCTATATTCACAAGTGAGACTTGTATAAGACTTCATTTTGAAATGATCTTTTCTCTGACTCTGTCCTTTTTCTCAATTAAAGGAATTATTGGTATCAACAGCAAAAATGAAGATATTTGCAAAAAGGCTACTTCTATCTAATATAATAATCCCCCTCTTAAAAATTATTTCCAAAGTTGGTTAAATCTAATGCTTTAATATTCTTAATATAACTATTAGCAAAAATCAGTATTAGGTTTTCAGGGGCTTCCAAGTCAAAGGAGAGAATCCTGTTTCAAGGGCATCATGGAGGTGAGAAGCAGCCAAGGAGAGGCCAACTGAGATTTTAGGTACACTTCCTTCTCCTTCTACAAATTTTATAGCAAGTCCTTTTAGAAAGAACTTTGCCCTGATGAACATAATAAAAGAGAGTTTTAAAAGAATAGATCAGCTAAAAGCCAATCGTCCTGGATAGGCTTAATAGTCCTGGAAAACAAGCACATTTTGAGTATAAGGTTGAAAAAGTAGTGTGTATCAAGTGAAGCAGAGAAGCATGAGTTTTTAAATAAAAAACACATTTTTTAAAAAGTCTTGAAATACCAAAACATCTAATTTATACCTGCTGTCTTATCACTTACACAAAGAACGTTAACTATAGACTGCTTTTCTCTCATAATATAGTATCCGAATTCATTAAGCTGCATCTTTTATTTTAATGCTTCACCAGGTTCTGCTTGTGAGTTTACTGGTTTGAACATAAAATCGTTTTGAGAGGCCACACCGATTTCTAGCTCCATGCAAAAACAGCAACTCACACAGAGGTTTCATTTCTGTTGTGGCCGAAGGACTACGAAGGGAAGCAGGGAGTGTTTCTGGTGGCGGGGAGGTTCTTTTCAGTCCTCACACCTGGCTTTTTTGCAAGCTGGAAGAGAATCATCATCTCCTTCTGATGGCCGAGGTTTCTTCACTGTGGAGACGATTCCAAAAGCAGTTTTCCTAGTTTCTATAAAACAAAGGAGGAAACCAGAGCCCGAGGTTAAGACATGATTTAAAGAGGCGGTTCAACCAGTATCACCACGCCGCTCTGACAGCACCAGCAAACGACACGAGCATCGTGAAATGCGGGCGGCCAGTGACACGTACAGTTGTGTCCTTCCCTTGACCCAAACACACAAACGTCTGCGTATTAACATGGAACTCATTCCTAAGGACTACTTCAAGAATAAAACTGCAGGGCAGGTTATCTGGAAAGCTTCGTGGGCGGCACCTTCAACAGCCAGAGCCCAAGTCTCAGGCCCCGGCCCAGCAGTGCTTAACGTGTGGGAAAACCATGGATGGTCACGACAGCGAGGACGCCGCCGACCGTATCTCTCCCGTGGCGGTGCGTGCGCTCACTCCATTTTATAGCACACACTGCGCCAGTCTTCCCCGCTAGATCATCAATGCACTTCTGAAGGATCAATCGTGTTTATTGTACTGCCAACACGCAGAATGCCTGGCTATGTAATAGGTGTTCGCTAAATACTCGAGTGAATGAAGAAAATCGAGCTCACATATTTATTTATCTCATATATTGGTGATGATGGACAAAGAATAGAATTATCATGTGTTTAGATCAGCATCGTTCAACTTAAACTTAGCCAACTTCTGCTAAACTTCTGCAAAACGTCTACACGCGGGCCAGGCCCTGTGTCACCTGCACAGGGTATGAAGATGCCTAAACACAGAGTTTCTTCCCACAACACACGGAGGTGAGCGCAACAGGGGCAAACATGGGAGGAATGGAGGTACCCACGAGAATCAACTGCCTGGATAAATCAAGAAAGGTACCAAAAAAGATGTACTCTAGGAACAGGCAAGGGGAAAAATGGGGAAAAAAGTATTCCTTCATAAAGACATGGGGAGAGAGGTAAGAAGAACCTAATACAGTTGGTATGGCTGGTATGAAGGAGGAACGAGAAAAACTTAGGAGGAAATGAGGACGGCAGAGTAGCTTCTCGAAAGGTCAGGCCAGTTCCCAGCCCAGCCCGCCAGACATGACCCAGTGGGGGCCAGTTTTCCAACCTGCTTGCCGACTCCTGACTCAGTTCTCCCACCTTGATTGGGAGTCCTTGGCTTACTCAAAACTGTCTCCTACCTCCCATGACAGGCATCTGGCGCCAGCCACAAAGACCAGTGGTCACACTGACGCTCTTGGACCTGGGAATAGCCTGCCCTTAATCTAACCCACTGTTCCAGTTCACATCCTGAAACCCTCCACCCCCAGGCACCTGCCCAGATGAACAACCCCCCCCCATCCTGCCACAGACCCTGCTCTTTTTCTTTCAAAAACCCCTCTCCTGTCTCCCCCCAGTGCTGAAGCCAACCCTCACTCAGTCCACCTCTCGGTGCAGCATCAAATAAAGGCACTTGTGTAATGGGTGCAGCCAGGGGAACCCCAGGTAGGGATTTGTAATGGGGTCCAGAACTCAAGGTGTCCAGGAAATAATAATATAGGATGTCCTCGCCCCCACAAGTCTAAACTAGGGGATGGGACACATGGAGCAGGGCCATTGAGAGCTGTTTTGCATAGCAACAGTTTTGCAGATAACCTCTGACATGGTCATTTAACATAACTTTTAACTGGTTTCATGGATATGTTAAGTAGCTGTGGCCTTGCTTTGAGCCAAAGAGATGGGAGTGACTTCCACACAGGAGGTAACTGGGAGGCAGCTCCCCCTGGTTGCAGGACCTGTGTGAGAGCTTGGAGTAAGAGGGGACCCACACAGCTTTGACGAGAGGGGGAACCATGCAGCTTCTGGGATCCCTTTGTCACGTAGCTTAGGAAGCTGGAAAGCAAGATGTAGCAGTGATGCAGAGCTCTCTCTTAGCAGTTTGGAACAATGCAGGGGAGATGCTGTGGGAAGGAAAGGGGTGAAAGGACTCTTGCTGCTGGGCCATGAGAAGGTGCCATGTGGTTTGGAATAAGAACTGGAGATCCCGTCGACACAGCTGATGGTGCTGGGAACCGAGGGGGGCCTGTCAGCTGAGCACAGATTACTCGGTAGAACTGGGGACTCCCTGAACCACAGACTTCTATTTCTTTTCCTGAGATACGGTACCCCGAATTGGGTAAAGGGGGGGAATGGAGGATTGTGTGTGTTTGTGGGTGTTTTAAGGGACTTTGGGATTTCAGTGAAGACATTAAGTCATTACTCTAAGTCTGTACAACTTTTGAATAAATCCTTTCCTTTTCACCAATCTCTGACGTTGAGAGAGGTCATTCCCTGGAGGGGGGCAGGTGAACCTAGTACAGGAGCACCGCGGGAGAAGGGGGGAGTCCATTCGGTGATAGTATCATGGTCCCCGTAACCCTGGTCTGTTCTGTAACGTTTGGATCAGACCACCTGGTTCTTCCTGCCTCCATTTCTTGCACATTTCTAACACTTCTGAAGAGCCACAAAGCCACAAAAAGAGATTTCAACTTAGTCCTTACAAAGTGGGAGGGAGCGATTCATTAGCCATGAAGGAGGTAGAATCAAAAGAACTGAAAAAACATAAATTTAGTTAAGAATTATTTCATATTTCAAATAGTAAAAGTAGAGTCAATTTTACAGTTAAGCATTACCTTTCCATTTGTCAGGATTAACTTAACAAATCTACTATGTCTTTGCCAGTTGTTTAAAAGCATTTTAATATATAAAAAGCACAAAACTGCTCTCAAGGACATTAAAATGCCAGCATAATCAGAGAGCCTCAAAATAAATAGAAATTGCCCATTATTCCCATTTCTACAAATAAAATATGTTGCATTAGAGATGCTTATTTGTGTCACTATGATTCTCAGTAAAAAAACCTAACAATCAGTTGAATAAAAAGTATAATAATTAAATTGTGAAAACGAACAGTTTGTAACAAAACAAAATGCATTTAGTTTCAAAATTCTTTTAATTCCATCTGAGAAATGTTCTATTTTTCTTATCACATGAATATTTACTTCTTAAGTTAAGCTGGTAATTACAAAGAAGACCTTTATAGTTTTCAGATAAAGATGCTCTTTCAGCATAAGTCTTTTGGAAATAACATTTGTACAGGGCTTTAGTTTAGCAAGTGTTTTCACAGGCAGTATTTCCCTCACTCACCCTTGTCAAGGAGAATCTACCACTACCTCTAGAGTACTTATTGATGAGTGCACTGCGCCATTCATGAGGAATCAGGGCAGGTCTCCCCAAGAGGCCCAGTGTGGTCCACTGGTCCAAGGACACCAACCTTGTCAACCAGCAGCTGAAGCCTCAGGCCCTGCACCACTTCCTCTGTCCCTCCCCCACGTTCCTGTTCACTGGTCTCCGGAAGCCCCTAGGACCCAGCTAGTTCTGATCCCCTGCTGCAAGACTTACAGTGTTGAAAGGCAGTTGCTATGTGTCCCAAGTTTCGTGTTCCTGGTCCCTGTTCTTGCACTGCTTTCAACAATTCCTCTCATGAGTGGGTTTCCAGACCCTCTAAGAACCTATTAACTGTCTTCTGGTGGTGCTCTGATGCTTCGCTCTCCTTCTCAAATGTGGCACCAAGGATGATACAGATGCCAGCCGGGACTTCATCAGTGCAGAGGACAATAATGAGACTTTAAATCCCCTTGCGTCAGAATTCTTTCTTTCTTCTAATGTAACCTACGGTAAATCAGCAACCTTAGGGATACACTGCACAACTGTCTCCTATTGATCTCCATCCATGTCAACTAAACCAGGGCAGCTACAATTTACCCTCTAGATGTGTGGTCATTCTTCAGGGACAGCAAGCATAAACTAGGACGGTCCTGGGCACACTAGGGTCAATGGTAATGCCGCCTAAAGTCCATAAGTCTTTTAGTTTCACTTCTATAAAAGCCCAGCTTTACACATATTCTATGTTAAATGATTTTCTAAAGTCAAATGCAGAACTTGACATTTTTCCCTGTTACATTAAAAAAAATATTTTATTTATTTATTTATTTTTAGAGGCAGGGAGGGAGAAAAAAAGGGAGAGAAACATCAATGTGTGGTTGCCTCTCGCACACCCCGTACTAGGGACCTGGCTCCGCAACCCAGTCATGTGCCCTAGACTGGGAATTGAACTGGGAACCTTTTGATTCCCAGCCCAGCACTCAACCACTGAGCCACATCACCCAGGGCCCTATTAAATTTTTTTCAGAGTATCCCTTTCTTGAAGGGCAAAGGCCATTGTCCCATCTCTGAACTCACCCCACACAGAGCCACAGATCTGGCAGGTGGGTGACATTTCTGTGACTCCATCAACCTGGCTAACACGGTCCCTCCCAGGAGATCCTGAGACTCTCTCCCACCCAGCGTCTGGGGCCACCCAACTGTAAACTGTCACTTTCCTATATGAATGGCTGGTCCTGGCTCCTGCTTTGAAACTTCCTAAATCCTCTCAAATAAGCCACAGCCAGCCTCAATGAGTCCCCAGCCTGATTAGCAAGAGTCCCCAACTCTTGCTAAGTGGCCTAGCCCATGTTCAAAGCTTGGTTTCATCTGGGAATGTCCAAACCCAGAACAAGTAGCAGCCGTCTCAGAGTGCTTTACAGCTCAGGCAGGGTGGTCCAAAGTAGAAGACAGGTAGGGCTAACCTGTGCCTGCACCACCCAGGAAACCCCAGGGCCAGCACACCCAGTAGATAGCCACAGACCACATCAGAGCACCACCATCCTGACCCTGCACAGCTTATTCTCCAAAGAGGGAAGAGGTTGGTGATCAGTGGTCACAGTCAGTCCTTGTAGCCGACTGGCCTGGATAAATTCCTCCTGTTGACCTGCCAACAGCAATCAAGCCTCAACTACAAGTGGAGGATGTACTCAACCCACACAAAAGGTACAGCACCTTGGGTACCCAGCTTGGGTGACAGGGAAGGTTGTGCCACTGGCCCTACAGGACACCTAATGCATCAGGCCACACTACCAAGGCAGGGAGTCACAGCAGCTCTAAATAATACACAGAAATAAACACAGGGAGACTATCAAAATGAGGAGATAAATAAATATGGCCCAAATGAAAGAACAGATCAAAATACCAGAAAAAGAACTAAATGAAATGGAGATAAGCAATCTATCAGATGCAGAGTTCAAAACACTGGTTACAAGGATGCTCAAGGAACTCAGTGAGGACTTCAACAGCATGAAAAAGACCCAGTCAGAAATGAAAGATAAACTAATTGAAACAAAGAACAATTTACAGGGAAACAACAATAGAATAGATGAAACAGAGAATCAAATCAATGATTTGGAACATAAGGAAGCAAAAAACCAATCAGAACAATAAGAAAAAAAGAATCCAAAAAATATGAGGATAGTGTAAGCAGACTCTGAGACAACTGCAAGTAGTCCAACATTTTCATCATTGGTATACCAAAAGGAGAGGAAAAAGAGCAAGAAATTGGAAATATATTTAAAAAAATAATGAAAGTAAACTTCCCTAATCTGGTGAAGGAAATAGACATACAAGTTCAGGAAGCACAAAGAATCCCAAACAAGATGGATGCAAAGAGGCCCACTCCAAGACACATCATAATTAAAATGCCAAAGGTTAAAGATAAAGAAGGGATCTTAAAAGCAGCAAGAGAAAAGCAGTTTGTTTCCTACAACAGAGTTCTCATAAGAGTATCAGCTGATTTCTCAGAAGAAACCTTGCAGGCTAGAAGGGACTGGCAAGAAATATTCAGTCATGAAAAGCAGGGACCTACACCCAAGATTGCTCTACCCAGAAATGATATAATTTAGAATTGAATGACAGATAAAGAGCTTCCCAAACAAGAAATAAACTAAGGAGTTCATCATCACCAAACTGTTATTACATGAAATGTTAAAGGGAACTATACAAAAAAAGATGATCAAAACTATGAACAATAAAATGGCAAAAATAGATACCTATCAATAAATGAATCTAAAAACAAACCAAGCAAACAAGAACAGAAACATAATCATGGAAACAAAGAGTGTTTTAATGGATACCAGATGGAGAGGGTTGTGGGGAAATGGGTAAAGAGGTGAGAGGATTAAGATCTACAAATAGGTAGTTACAGAATAGCCATGGGGTGTAAAGTACAATAAAGGAAATGGAGTAGCCAAAAAACTTATACACATGACCCATGGACATGAGCAATGGTGTGGGGATGGCCTGAGGGAGTAGGGGGTGCTGGGTATAGGGGAGGCAAAGGGGGATGAATCAGGACACCTGTAATAGCATAATCAATTAAATATTTAAAAATTTTATTAGTAGAAAGCTAAAACAAAAACTTTCTTGTTCTTGTTTTAGTCTACATGGAACATGACTTGTTATCCAGACTCTTGATAATTCCTTATGTTCACTTAAAATAGACAAAATAATGGCAACACTACCAAAGTGTGACCAAACTGTTCCCTAACTTCAGGAAAATTTCTATAAAACCCTATTGATTTGGTCATTCCCAGAGCTTAGATGATGGGGTCTAGGCTATGTGTTACAACAATCTCTAACGAAATCTTTTGAAACCAAAAGCAAAGTCATTTACTTCATGGCAAGTCAATGCAGTAAACAGTTCTCTCTGGTGGCAATTAGATCATTGAGACCCAGGCACAGCACACAGGGCTGCAGTGACTCTGCTAGTATTTGTGTGCCAAGTAACTCCGTCCACTTGTAGTGACTCTGCTAGTATTTGTGTGCCAAGTAACTCCATCCACTTATAGTGACCTATTTGGAAGCTTGAAATTTTTCTGATGTCAAGTAAATTGCTTCTTGACCAACTACCACTAGAGGTAAAAATTTCAAAGAGAATGAAAATAAAACAGAAAAGTGTAAATTAATAAAATATAAACCTCATTTTCATTCTCCATAGTACGGAAATACCCTATACTTCTAATTCAAGTTTTGTCATTGGAGAAATAAGACATTCAGTGGCCTCAAGTAGTGGAATTAATGTGAAGAGGAAGATATATTTAAATGAAATGTGAGTAAAAAAATGCATAGTCTGCACAAACTTGAACATGTGAACAAAAAATGAGAAAAGAATCATAAGTTGTAATAATTGCAAGAAGTTACAATTTGAGTTTGTTAGTTGAGTTTTTACAACACATTTGCCATTTTTGTGTTCTTAATAAATGACACAACATATATTGTTAACATTTCAGTTCTGTAAAACAGTGATTTTTAGAAGAGAAAGAAAGCATGGTCCTATGAAGTGGAGTAAGGAGACAAAGTGGAAGCACATCAAAATACAGGCAGGGACATGCAGGCAGAGCCTGAGAGAATGTACTCAGCACTCATTTCTGTAATACAATTTATATTCATTCCACAAACTACAGAAAGTAAAGCCTGCAGTGAAGGATGAGAAAGCACTGATGGATATGGCTAACACAGGTTGAGGCAAGATGACCCTAAAGGAACTCTACAGGGAAGGGTAATAAAAGTAGATATGGCTCAACTATCTGATAAAAACGATTGGCCCCTACCATGACCATCTGGTGTTTTTATTGGAAGAACTCGCTCACCTCCGTGGAGAAGCGCAGCTCGGCAGTTGGTAGACACCGCAGCCTTGGCCTCGCTCTCGGAGAGTCCAAACAGCAACCCTCTGTGGGGCCGTTAAGGATTTCAACCTGGAGTCAGCCAAGGACACAGGACTAACACAAACATAACTGACAATGCCGGCTCGCTGGTCAGACTCAAAGACATATTTTAACTCGACAGCAGTCCCTGGCCCAAAGGCAACATGCATTGGAGAAGAGGCTCAGTTAACTCCAAGCTTTTTAATAGAGTCTCCCATTCTTGTCCCCCTTTATCTACCTCAACTTTGGTCCAGAAAACACAAGGATGAAGCTCTCCATGAAATGCTGTAATTTCTTTTTGAAGTTATTAATTGGTAAACTTATACTAAAATATTAAGAAAACTATCTTGTTAAGGTATATCATTTCAAATCCCAAATTTCCTAAAAGAAAATTTCAACAATATCTTACGCTGAGAAGGATACAAGTTTGCAATGTCATATGGTCCTCTTATTTCTAAAGGCTAAAGTAAAAGGGACAAAAAATAGGCATGAGAGAAGTGATTGATAACATTTCAAGACTTCACCTGCAGTAAATGAATAGGATGATTAGGTCTCCAAATATAAAGTCAATGGTGTAAATTTAAGTCCTTGTAATTTTGATTGTTTTCTTTAGTTTTTGAAAATATAAAAGAACCTTAAAAAGCTTCTCTGACAATATTAAAAAAAAAACACAATATAAACAAAACTTAAAGCCTCCAAGGACTGGGGTAAATATTACTCTTCATCAATTATAATAAGCAAATACAGTTAAAAATGAAAATATGCAATAAATGTTCATTATATCACTATTTTAACTTCTCCCTTAGAAATTTTTACTACAAACGTGCAATAAATGTTCATTATATCACTATTTTAATTTCTCTCCTGGAAACTCAAAGTTTTATAGCTTGAAAACAACGACAACAAAGCATTTAGTGGCAGACTTACCCTTTCTGCAGCACTAGATATAATTACATTCTGCAAGATAGAAAGTGATCAATATTAATCATAGGTAAATGGTTAAAAAAAATGAGTCTATAATACAGATAACCAGTAATCACATTTTAACATTTAAGGCTCTATAAATACCAACTTCTAAGATCAGGTAAATAATGAAAGTGAAAGAATGAAAAGACCTCATGTCAAACAAAAGGCAGCTTGTAAGAAGCAGAACAGGTCTTCCCCATGGATCTTAGCAAAAATGGATTCGTTTTAAAAACTAGTTGAGACCTGGCTGCTGTGGTTCAGTGGACTGTGTAAAGGCCTGTGAACTGAAAGGTTGCTGGTTCAATTCCCAGTCAGGGTACAGGCTTGGGTTGCAGGCCAGGTCCCCAGTTGGGGGTGTGCAAGAGGCAACCGATGGATGTATCTCTCGCACATTGATGTTTCTCTCCCTCTCTTTCTCCTTGCTTTCCCCTCTAAAAATAAATAAATAAAATCTTAGAAAACAAAAACAAAAAACCAAAATCTAGTTGAAAAGGTCATGCAATCTAAATGCAAGTCACTGATGACAAACAATTATTATCTAGACTATTCTTTTCACAGTGGCTAAATTACAAATTCCTTATTAGAAGAAAAGCTTTCAACACATCTTGCGCCCCTCACATTATTCTTTTCTCAATATTTTTCTTCCCTTTAAAACTTGCAGAGCTCACTGAAATGGGAGAATTTGTTCCTGTGCCTTGAGAACTTTCTGCTCTAAAGAAAAGAAATCATTTGGTTAATCTAGTGGATTAATAATAATAAACTGCTAGATTTGAAAAGCACCCTGAAATTAGGAAACCATACCTTTCCTTTGCAGACCTGCATCAAACTGAGGGCGTTGGAAATTGTGTACCTTCTCATTGTGGAGTCTTTGATGGCAGGGCTGTAGACCAGTTCAAAGCACACACCTCGGTCAATTGCCTTCACAGGAAATAAAGAAAATAAACTGTCAAGAACAAACACACACTGTGCTACTCTATTTTCGTTAAAGTTCCATCTCACCTCCCTCTTCACCCCCCACTGCCCACCTCCTGCATGTCGAAGCACAGCCTTAAACAAAGGCGGACTCACGCCCAAACAGCACCATCCACAGGAGGAAACAGATCTGTGGCTCTGTCTGATTATCTGATTAGCAGAGTTTATCTTAGCGATGGGGAGGCTGACAGGAATCATGAAGGGGCTATGGAGAGCACAGCCCCAGCGGCGGGGAGGGGGAATGGCCAAAGGGCTGTTATTACAGGAGCTATCAAAAGAAAAACAGAGATGTGCTCCCTATACTTAGGGTAAACTGTCTGCAAACATAGTAAACTAAGTAATTTGACCCAAAAATGAAGAAAAAAAGAAGGAAGAGCGGAACAATTTCCAAAGAACAGGGTGGGAAGGCCCCTTGGATGCATCGCTTGTTGCCTGTATGTTGAGTGGAGGACAAAGAGCCATGGTTGAGTGTTACATGTCAGGCACTGTGCTAAGAGTCTTATATATGTATTTAACCCTTATAATACTTTTATAAGACATTATGGCAGAGATTGCTAATTGCCTCTGGGACTGTTCTCCCCCTTTTTCTTTACTAACGGAGCCCCTGATTATAAACTGGGCTCATGAATACCCAGCAAAAAAGAGAGAAGCTGGGCCCTGACAATTTTGCCTCGCTCACCATGTGCTTGGCCTTCTACATAAGAAAAAAAGAAACTTCTTTCTTATTTATGGCATTGGGAATAGGTAGGCATCCGCAGGTAAGAAAGTATCCTGGAGGTGGTGAAAGTAAGACCAAAATCCACCACTACCCTCTTCAGCTTTCCCCTTTATCCATGCACAACACACGTGTTTCCAGCCAACTGTGCATGGGGATGTTGAGAAAAAACTGACACGGTTCCTCTAAGACACACGAAACACAGACTTCAACTGTGATAAGTGCTACCAAGGAGAAGTTTGGGCAAGGGTGAGGAAGGAATTAAGTAGTTAAATAGTAAAAGGAGGAGCATCTGCAGAGGGAGGGAGGAGTACAAGGAAAGGCTCTAGGGCTGAAGAGAGTCTGGTAACATGTAGAGGTCATAGGCCAGTGAAGAGGAATATGGGGGAGCCTTGTGGTCAAAGTGGAGTCTCAAGAGAGAATAAGCGGGGTGGCTTGCGGTGGAAGTGGAGACTAGAGATGGAAAGGGTCAACTGTGCAGGTCTGTAGAACTGGTGGCAGGATTATTCTAGAGGCAATGGGAAGGACTTCAGCATGAAGGTGATAATCAGACTTGCCGTGGCAGTCGCTGGTTACAGTGGATGAGCTTTTGAATGAACCAAGGAAGGAAACAGGCACAGACCGGGTAGTACGGTCCAAGTCTGCCTGGCAAATGAGCTTCTGTTACCCGGAGGACGAGCTGGCACCGGTCCGCCTGTAAGCCCCGGAGGTCTGTCCCTGAGTGTGTACAGGGAACAGAAAATCCTGTCTTCTTCCCGAACTGGCAGCCCACTTTGATTCAACACAGGTGTAGCTGGCAGTCTCCCACTTACTCTTTCTGAACGCTGATTTTCTTTTTTCCACCCCACAACCTTCCTTTTCCCTAATTTTTCCTGCTATCTGGAGGCTCCCAGATGTTATTTTGGATTTTCCTACATACCTGGTTTTAGTTTAATTAGAGTTTACATGCTGTTTTATATGCTGTAACCTTCCCCTCTCCTCTTTTCTGAGAACTTTCCCCAACTCTAATTCTTTAGCTTGTGTTGATTATTTCTGGGAATGATACAGGTTTTAATACTCTTTGTCCCACTGTTAAATGTACACTCCATCCTTCCTAGCTTCACACTTCTTGAGAGCTGGTAACACACAACTCATTTATACAAATGCTTATTTATATTCTAAGTAAATAGGTCCTAGCTTATGGAAAAAGGGTCATGTGATAATGCTGTTCACTATGGATTATCCATCATAAAAGAAATCAGGGTAAACTTGGCAAACTGAAATTCACTGACAAACCAAAACACCTTTTTTAGCCATATTCTCAATTATCTCCCTAGCTATTTTTCTTACCAAAAGTATTAATTAGCCCAAGAGGCTGCCACCTTTCTTTTCCTCATCCTTCTAGCTGCTGAACGAAAACCCAAGGCGGCCGGTTGGAGACAAGGGCAAACAGAAGTGTGGGGGACACACCAAACTACATGACCGGGCCCTACGTTCTTAACTGATCTAAAACTTTAGCCCTTCCCACAGCCCACGGTGACCAGATACAATAAAACTCCTTTTTTTTGGAGGGGGAAGAGGAGAGAGAAAGGAAATTAATTATCAGCTTAATTATTTTTTAAGGAAAAGAGTTCTGATTCTGATCACGGCACATTCACCAAGTTTACTCTGAAACTGCTAACGGAGTGGAGAGAGATGAGACTGTGCACTACTGGGGGCTGTGAGCATCCCTTCCGTCACACCTTAGTCTACGATTTTAGGTGAAACACAGACTTGTTACCTGCACTCTTGCTTCTAAGACCATTTTAATGAAAACTGCCCAAACTCATCAAATGATTGTTCCTAGCAGCCTTTTCATTAACAATGACAGAGCCTGCCTGATTGGCTTTTGTTCGCTTCTCTGACCAAAGGTTGTGAAATAGGAAGATTTCTTTACTAATGAAAAATAATAGTCATCATGATGCTACAAACCAAGGGCAGGTGTGTGATACTTGAATCAAGGGATATTGGTGGTAAAATTCCAAGAACTAACCAGAGCTCAACAGAATGAAAAGAGAAAGAAAATAGGGGGTTGATTACTGGGGTGATACATGAATTCCCTGTTAATTTCATAAAAATTAGTTCTTTATTGAATCCAAAGGACAACACCCTTGGTGTATCATTCTTTAGACAGGTAATTTGTTACATGATTCATAAATCGAGTAACATAAGGAAGCAATTAGAACTCTTACTTGTATCTCTGCTCCTGAGGGCCCTATCACCACTTCCTATAATCCCTTTTGTTCATTTCTTGGGTCTTCTTCCAGTTTCTTCAAATATAAGCAAATAGGAATATATATTTTCTCTTTTCTTTTTTACCCAAAAGGCAGCCTGCTACATCCCTGCTCCGACCTGAAGGGTTTCCCGGTCCGATCGTAACTTCCGCACCGTTTTGTACTTGCACAGTGCTCCACGGGACAGCTACAGCTCGCCCGCAACCAAGCCTCAACCGGCGGACTTTGGGTTGTTACACATATGGGTAGAATAAACACTGAAGTGGGATTTCTGGGCACTATGCATTGAACTGTGTCTCCCCATAAAAGGTGTGCTGAAGTGCTGGCCCTCGGTACCTCTCTACGTGACTTTATTTGGAATAGGGTGACGGTAGATGTAATTAGTTAAGATGAGGTTATATGGGCTAGGCTAGGCCCCTCCTCCAATATGACTGAAGTTCTCATAAGATGAAGGTGATGTGAAGACACAGGGGGAGGGAGACCACACTGTGAAGACAAAGGCAGAGATCAGAATCAGGCAGTTGCAAACCAAGGACCACCAAAAAGATTGCCAGCAAACCAACGAGAGCAAGGCAGAGAATTCCTCTACAGGTTTCAGACAGAGAAGGGCCCTGCCAACATCTTTTTTAAAAATTGTTTTCTGGTTTCCAAAGTTTATTAAAAATCAAAGCATGGAAAAACTTTACTATATGTCAATCTGATTAGAATATGTCAAGCTTAGCTGAGTTCTGAACTTCCGCCAAGATGGAGGCATAGGTGGATGTGCCGTGCCTTCTCACACAACCAAGTTTAGAGACAACTAAATCTTAGCAACAGAAAATACAGCCAGAACACGGAAAATTGAACTTTTCGGAAGTCCGTTAACAACAAATTCTTCAGCCTGACCAGTAAGGGGTGAAACCAGCGGCTGGTAAAGCGGGGTCGCACAGGAGGACTCGGTCAGACCCACTCAGGTGCACATGGATCCCAGGAGCAGGGTTGGACCTAGTGAGCGACCCAGCGAGCCAACAGGCGAGCGACCTCGGGGGAGACAGTGGGGGAGCGGGGCTGTGTGTTGACTGTGGTCGCGCATTTGTGCGCGGGTGGACAGGCAAGGGAGTGGGCGGTTGGACCGGGCCCAGCGGGTCCCCGCGGCAAGCGGCCATTTCCCTGCTCTGACCCCACCTCCACATGCAGCGTCATAACCCAGCGACTCTGAGTGGCCCGGCCCTGGTGAACCACGTAAGGTGCTGCTCCTCACCCAGCTGCGAGAAACAGCAGAGGGGGTCGCCATTTCCCCGCTCTGACCACGCCCCCACATGCAGCGTCACAACCCAGCGACCTGGGAGTCCAAGGCTCTGCTCCTCATACTTAACGGGCACAAACAGACCAAAAATGGCTCAAGAAGATCTCAAAGTCTCAGAGCCTATAAATCTAAGCAATGAAGAAATAGCAACACTCTCAGATGCACAGTTTAAAACACTGGTGATCAGGATCCTCACAGAACTGGTTGATTATAGCCACAAATTAGACAAACATATGAAGGCAAAACTAATTGAAATGAATGGAATTGCACAGGAAACCAATAGTGATGAAAAGGAAACTGGGACTCAATCAATGGAGTGGACCAGAAGAAAGCAAATAATGGCCAAACAGAAAAGAGTCAAGAAGCAAGAATTCAAAGAAATGAGGAGAGTCTTAGGAACCTCCAGGACATCTTTAAACGCTCCAATATCCGAATTATAGGGGTACCAGAAGGGGGAAAGGCACAGCCACCAGGGGAAAACTTATTTGAACAAAAGTAAAGGAGAATTTCCCCAATCTGGCAAAGGAAATAGACTTCCAGGAAATCCAGGAAGCTCAGAGAGTCCCAAAGAAGGGGACTTTTTTGCAAGAAGAAACACACCAAGGCACATCATAATTACATTAGCCAAAATTAAAATGAAGGAATCCTAGAAGCAGCAAGAGCTAAGGGGACAGTCACCTACAAAGGAGTCCCC